GCACACTAATTGGGACCAACTTGGGACAGTTAGGTGGATGTCACTAGTTTTGATGAGCGCTTACTTTGCAGACATCGTCGGGATGGCTGGCTGCGCCTCCGTCATTTTTTGAGCGAAATGCAGCTTGTCACTTGTGTCTCTTATACAGAATGCCAGAATTTTGTTATGAAGCTTGCCTTAAAATGCCGTACTCTTGCTATCATGAAACTCCGCACATTTACTTGAGGTAACATAGATGCATAAACTGCCTGAATGTTTTGACGAGCTGGGACAAATCTGAAGTGATCAAGTATATTTCTGCGTTTTTTACTCCACATTGGCGCAGGCAATGCAGCCACTTTGGAGAGCTTTTCAAATTGACAATACATACGGTGCCCTTATGTTGAAGGCAACATTTGCGCGTGAATGGGGCTATGGAACACACTAAACTTGGGATTTGTGGCCATTTTACAGTCCAGATCGTCGACATTGCATGCCAGTGCGTTCATGCGCAAGTGCTGTTGGCACCGCCGGGGCATCATGTGAATCATCAAAATTCCTAGCCCAAGTAAAGCTTGAAGTTGAGCTCTTTCTGCAGAGTCCAGGTGAGGCGCCTGTGCAGAGCTGCGCCCGACACTGCAACTGAGATAGCCTTCAAAACAGCCTTTACTCCGAAAAAAGATTTGTCATCCACTTGATTCAGTTTCCACTTGTCATTTCAAAAACACATCTAGCCGTCGCAGTTCGAATAATTTCCTCGATACATTCACTCAGACTTCTGAACTTTTCACAGATGTGGGCAGTATGGGCAGCCATCTGCTTGGCTGGTATGGTGCCCGTCCACTCTCTCTTCCCAGGAGCGATTCCTGACGAAGGTGATGTCCGTCACCTGTATCCAGTGACGCAGATCTCGATGGGACTGGACAACCACGCCCATGCTGTACCGTACCTTCTCGGTTGGTTGGAAAACATTGATTATCCGAAAGATCGCATTCATGTGATGATCTACCTACTAAGTAAGGAAGATACCACGGGTGATCAGGTGAAATGGTAAGAGATCACATGGTTTTTATTTTGTAGAGACATACCTTGATGAACATTTTAGGTGGAAAGAATCAGTCGCCTCGCTTTTCGCTTCACTAAAAATTGTCGAAGGTG